GACATTTACATTTTGGAAATATTTCTTTGATGGTAGTGCATCAGGTGAACTGAGTGCAGAAAAGAGAGGCCAATTAGGGAGCTTTTGCATTATTAAACAATAAATAATGAATATTTCAGTTGTAACAGGAAACAGGAAGAAATGGACATATGAATAAAATTCTGGAATTAGAATCAACAGGACTTGGACCAATTAATTCATTGCAGCCAGTTATGGGAACGGGAAGCAAGCACATAAGAGACAAGAAAGCGGATGTGATGTGGTGGTTTATGTGATTAATCAAGTGAAGTTTTATGGTTAACCAGATCTTCTCAACAACTTACCAAGGTAGTTCACAGATAGTTGAAACAAAAAGCAGATTTTTGCTACTCTGGTGGCATAGCAAGTAAGAAGAAAAATGACACCTAGTGGTGAAATCTGGTGATCCTCAAAACATCCATTAATTGATACAGCTTTGTAAAATCTTACCTAGTGCCTTATTACTTGATTTAGAAAATGATTAGTCTTGGATTACAGATGAATAAATTAACCTTTCTGGAACATAAGAAATAATCCGTGATGTAATTTTAAAAACCTGAGTTAAAAAAAAAAAAAAAGCAGAGTATGCAGATCAAAAGGACTAATTTTTAAGCAAGATTAATGAAGAAAAATCACTATACAAACTGTAACATTTTTGATTTACAGAGATAATGAAAGTGCACTGTTAGCATCCTAGAGGGGGCTGGAAAAAATTTACTTACAAACAAAAATTAAACTGCTTTAAACTTTATTATAAGTATAAATGCTAGACACATACGCAATATAAAAAGACCATTGAGCAAGACAAAAAGTTAAGATTTTTGTACTTAGCCAGGTTTTATGCAAGATATGTAAGCTCAGAGTTGAAAAAAGGTTGAGCAGCTAGAACACCCAGTGCCCTTCTTTAAAAATTGTTTCAGCCACTGAAAGATTGCTGGTGAATATTGAAATAAGTTAAATTGAGTTGTATGTGAATCATTGTTTTACTTCATAAAAAAGTATGTAACAATAATTTTTGAAAATAAATGTAAAATTTGGGTCTGTAATTCTAAATTACATCAGTTGATCACTCCCATGAGAGCTTTGGGTGGTAGAAGATAGAGGCCTGAGGCTGGCCTTCTTCAGAGCGAACGTTTTATCCTTTACAGAAAGGCCATATGTCTCTGAACAGATTGAAACAGAGGTTGAAATTCTTAACTTTGTACCTTGTACAGCATACGGGACTGCTTTTCACATTTAAACCTTCTTTTCCATACCTTTTATCCCCTCCATAACACATTGAGGACGGGGCATTTAAATATATAGATGCAAATCTGTGTCACTGGTCCACAATATGTTGATTCCCTCCCCCACCTCAACAATCTAGCCTTCTCCCCAGCAGTCCTTTCCGGTCCCTTATTCTGTTGCTCTACTTACCTCTATAACTAATCACTTCTTGGTTCTCACACCGGGAGTGCCAAAAAAATGAATACAGGTGGAGTGGACATTTCTGTCAGCGTTGCTCAAGCAGTAGTTTGCCATAATCAGAAGTGTCTGGACGCTGCCGGCAACCACTTTGAGCACCTCTTGTAATTCCTGAAGTCGAACTTGACTTGTATTAATCTTTTGTTATCGGCATATATTATTACAATTTTAATAGTTTTTTCCTTTTCTTAAAATGTGTATACATTTTTTTTGGCACCCTCTGTATATTGAGATGGCAGAGGTTCAAGTTTCTACTGCACCATCATTTCTGTATGAAGAGGTGAAGAAGCGATCCCCTAGGATCTTAGGTTAAGGCAGGGTTTGATGTTCCAATACCAGCTGACGTGTGTATTTATAAAAATGTAATATAATAAAGGTGACATTTCTTATCAGTGGGAAAAGCTATGATGGTTCAATAAAGAGTGCTGACAGGTACATACCTATATTACAGCTGTCAAAGTGTACACTTTAAATATGTGCACTTTATTCTCTGACAGTTACAGCTCAAGAACTATAAAAATTGCGCTGTTTGAAATAACTGATAATTTATTCATTATTAGAGAAAAAAAACCTTCCCTATACCAAAATATACTTCAGAAAATAAGTAAATATAATAAATGAAACTATAAAGCAATTACCAGAAATTGGAAAAAATTTTTTGTGATTTTTGTGTGAAAAAGACTGATAGTTTTTATACACACATGTGTACACACACACACACACACACACACACACCATCATTATACACAAATGGGATCATATCATACAAGTCCCTTCTCCCTCAGCCTTCCCCCCACAGTAGCAGCCCAACCCTTTCCTGTCCCACCAGCTAAGCTATGTCAAAAATCTTACAGGTGTTCTTCTAAAATATATATATTTCTAGAATCATGTGTTAACACACACATACATAAACACATGAGATTTGGTTTTGGTTCTTGTTTTACATAAAATAGAATTATATTAGCCTTTTCTGCATCTTTAATCCACTATACTTTAGGAAAACCCACCATGTCATCTGATATAGCTCTAATTCCTTCATTTTAATGGTTGTGTAATAGCCAGTTGTTTGTGTCACAATTTTTCACAAATTATGCTGCCATTACCATCCTGCACATATTATATCGGAATTGGTTCTTTCATACTTCTGTTTTTAATAAATGTTCTCAAATTGCTTTCCAAGAAGACTGTCTCTTCACATTTCTACCAGCCATGTATGAGTACCTCTTTTCCAATGTTCCTGCCAGCAGTAGCTATTATAGCTCATTTTACTTTCTGCCATTGATTTATTTTTTATTTTCCTGTTTGCTTGAGGTCTCAAAGTCAGCCAGAGATGAGTGACTGGGACCTTGATTTACCCCTTTCCCAGGTATTTCCTGGACATGCACACAGCCTTACAGTGTGTGCAGCCTTTTAGATCCCCAGGAATATGTCTAGTTCTTCAGGATTTCCTTTTAAATTCCCGGTCAGGCTCTTGTCTCAATTGAAACCATAGCCTTAGGCAGCAGCTAGATATTGCTGGCAGATTGCTGTAATTTCTATGATGTCTTAGAGGGCAGGGCCTTTTGTCTCCCTGACCTGATGTTTGTGCCCAGTGAAATGCCACAATACCTTGGGAATATAGTTTTCCAGGGAGCTGCAAGTTTGGACAAAATATTGATTGTGCACTAGGGAAGCTGGTTTTAATAGAACTGCAAAAAAAATTTCAGTCCTCTATATTGGCTGATGGTACTGTCTTTTTTTGGCTCTACCTGACCACTGAGCTGGGGAGCAAGGGGTATGAGAATTAACCCTCCATCAAGATGTCCCAGTCCACCGTGTCTTACTGAGGTGCAGTTGTTTCTATTGGGTAGACATGTTCTCCTCATTTTGTGGCTTTGGTTCATTTCCCTAGTTTTGAAGTTTTTAACTTCAGTTGTTTTGCTAGTATTTCAATTCTTGTGGGAAAAGCCAGTTCACTGAGGTTCTCACTCTGTCATTCTGGAAGTTAATCCCCTTTCTTAGTTTCCTGAGCTTTTCATAGGCATCAAGTCCAGTGTGAACTTTAAGGTCATTTTGTCCCAATCCAAGAAACGCCATTAGATTACATTAAATTTGTAAATTAATTTTGGAAGAATTAACATTTTGGGATTTTAAGTTTTTATAACTGGAAACATGGTAAGACTGATAGAATTGATTATTTAAATGTATACTTCTGGGCATTTTAAAACAATTTCTAAGAATTCAATTACAAGTGACACTAGAGAATATATTTGCAGTATATGAGATAGATAGTGTTAATGACCTTTTAATATTAAATTTATTTTCAAATATAGAGATTACATAGAAGCATGGGTGAAGGATATAAGCTATTTTAAAAGAAGAAATATAGATGACCAGTAAGCTTAAGAATATTTAGCTAGGGATTAAAACAATACAAATTAAAATGAAGTACCCTTTTCACTTATCAAATCTGAAAATAGCATTGTTTGGGTAAAGTGTGGCATAATACTCATTTACACTGCTGATGGATATATACATTGCTAAAATCTTTCCGGAATATAGTTCTACCCAGATATCCTTTTGTAGGAATTAATCTTAAGGGAAAAAATACTAATTTATTCACCATTAAATAGTTACTGAGTACCCACTATATGCCAAACAATGTTTGTCACCAGGTATATAGATCAACAGAAAACACATACACACCTAAACATTTTGTTTTTATGGAAACTACATTCTTGTTGATGAGGCACACAACAAACGAAAAAAAGATCAAGTATATTAGAATGAGACAGGTACTATGGGGGCGGGGAAGGAAGATAAGAAGTATTGGGTAGGGTTGTATGTTTGGGATCTCTAAGAATAATACTGTTTAGAATGATTAATCTCTTAAGAAATGGGAATAGATGTCTTATTTACTTTATATTTTCCTGAGTTGTTTCTATAATGAACATGTAGAAATAGATAATAGAAACTAATAAACATTTTTCAAAATAGTCGAAATTATTTGACAGTATGAGTCCCTGACACATTTTATAGAGGTTGGTGTAGTTCAGCAGTCTTCTAAACATTCCAATGGATGGATTTTACTTTAGGAAAATAAATATAAATGAATTTATTAACTAGCATAGGGTTTAATTTTGTAGCCTGTCACACTTGGGTGGAAATCTGATTTAGATTTATTTTTCTCAAATCTAAACATTTTAAAACTTGAATTCATTTAGCAAATTGAAATTCTATTTTGCTTATCTGTAATTAAAAACATTGGGAAGACTATCAATTTCTCTCACTAGAATTGCTTGTGTATCACATAAATGTTGTTACTAAGTTATTCATTTTATTTACTTTTCATCACTGAATTTCAAACAGTGAATTTGATCACTTAAAATACCTTATTTTGTATTCAGTGCTTCTTTCAAAATCACTTTAAAATGTTTCATGGTGGATTTATTTATTTCAATTTCATTTTATAAAAGATCAATGTAAGAATTTAGAGTAACTTAGAATTTTAGAATTTAATGCAGGAAAATATATTTTAGGAAAACAGTTAAAGGATGGGAAGAAGCCAGAACCATGCAAACCTATCCTCAAGGTGGAATTCAAAACGACTAGATCTGGGTAAGATTTTACTTCATTGCCAATATTCACTGTATATAATTGCTCAAATAGCATTGAAGGCTAGTCTATCATTATTTTTGAAGGCTTACTTTAGAATGCTTTAGCCTAGTCTTAAATTTTGTGTTTTCTTTAACAAATTAACTAAAATTACAAAATTTAGAATAAAATCATTATTTGTGTTCTCTCTGTCTAGCAGTTTTACTATATAACTTGGAACTGTTTGAATTACTTTTCTTATCAAACTTCATACATTCTGTTAGATTAGGCTTCAGTTAACATAGTGTTTATTCACTAGTAACAACCGTGGAATCGCAATGAAGAAAAACTATTTAAAATTTAACCTATTTATACTATATATGTTAATTATAAAAGTTTATATGCATTCTTCAAAAATTAAATCTCAAAAGAATATTTGGCAATTACAAAAATAAATAGAGTTTAATATTAATGGAAATTAGTTGTATTTAAAGAAATTGATTGCCACTATGTATGAATTAGGTATGAGAATTATATGGTTTTTTTTACAATCTTACTTATGTTTTTCATACACATCAAATACTATATTCAGAAATATAATTTAGGAAAAAAAAATCTTAAATGTTTCTTAGAAAATTCCACTCTCTTTAAACTCTAAAGTAGCTCTTTTACTTACGCTCTAATCCCTCACTGTGTGGTTTTATTTACTAGAACTATGTAAGAGTGAATTTCTGTAGTATATGTATATAGGCTAATGGTCCTGAAATTGTGGTTCCTGGACCCAGCAGCATTAGCTGAGCGCTTGTTAGAGATGCATATTCTCAGCCTCCACCCAGACCTACTGAATCAGAAAGCCTGGATGGGGCCCAGCGGTCTGTGTTGTAACTAGACTCAACAGGAGATTCTGATGCACACTAAAGTTTAGAACAGCTGATACATTTTTTTTAATGAATCTGATTAAACTGAATCCTATTCACAGTAAGAAAAGACAGTAGGCTGAACAATCATAAGGTTGCTGTTTTTTCTCCTGATCCTCTTTGGCCTTCCTCTGGGATCCACCACGTAGACTGTGCTCAGACAATAAGTTGAATGAACTCCAAGAGGAAAAGCATGTTGGATGGACTATGGCATCCCTCACTGGCTGACCTTTGGCACAGAGTTATTTGACTTCTTTGTGCTTCAGTTTCCTCATTGATGATACAGATGTGATATAGGTCAAAAGGTTGTGATGAATTGAGATAATTATGTATTCAAAACATTTCACAGAGTGCCTGGTACATAATAAACTTTCTATAAGTGGTTATCCATATTTTTATTAGAAAACCTCCTACCACCAATTGTTGGTTTTTTTTATTTGCTTTATTTGTCGTATGGCAAACAAATCTAATAAAAGCATGGCAGCAAAAAACAAACAGAATGTGATGAAACCAAAAAAGCCTGTATTAATAATACAGTATAAAATGAATTGTGTAAACATTTAAACTAACAGTCCTAATTGTCTTCTGAATTATCTACTTATTTTAACAAACACTGATTGGCAACAAAGGCAAAAGTCCAGGAAAGATTTTTCTCCCCCTCTTTTTGCTCTACCTGTTTCCATTTTCACCCCTGTATAAAAGCAGTATATATGAGCTCCAGGTTTCTTCCAGGATGAAAGCAATACTTCTGCTTTTATAGAATTAGAAATAAGAAAAAGGGGCCGGCCGAGTGGCTCAGTTGGTTAAGAGCTCGCTCAAGAGTGCGAACTCTGAGCAACAGCGGTTCAAGTCCCGGCCCGAGCTGAGCAGCTGCTGAGCTGCCAATAGGTGGCAGGATAGCTCAGCTATTAAAAAAAAAAGAAAAGAAATAAGAAGAAAAAAAGTCTGGCTGTTTGGTATGCATTTGTAGATACTATAAAATAGATTAATAGGATCACCCCCTTGTAACAGTCTTTTCTAGCTTTCCAATTTTTTTTTCTTACTTGGGATAGAACATTCAGTAAATTAAACGGATTCTTTTTCCTCACTCCATGGCCTCTTTCCTTGAGATAGCTCACCAGAATTCTAATGTGTAGCCGAGGTGAGAACTATTCCTCTACCTCTCCCACGTAGAGCAGAATCACCCTCAGTTAAGTAAGCTGGAGTTCTCACCTTTTTCCTGTTTCTAGCAAGTGTCTTGGACAGGTGCCACCAGAAGGTGTTCTATCAGTTCCTGTTGACAAATTGCCAAAGTTTGTTAGAAGAGCCATCCTTCCCACCTCAGTATCTTCTACATTTTCTTTTCTTTACCTAGAAGCCATTCTAGGCAGAAGGAGTCCCTTTTGTCCATTATAGCTCATCATAAATATCACACTTTAAGGATGTCTTGGCCACATTGACTAGATTGGGTCTCCCCCGATAGTATATTCTCAAAGCATGCTGTGCTTTTCCTTTATAGAACTTGTGCTTGTCATTAATAATGCAATTATTTGTTTAATGCACATCTTCCCTATTAAATATTGAGCTCAATGAAAGAAAGCATGGGACATAACTGTTTCACTTCTAATTGTCCAGCACCTAGCCTAGTGTTACTGAATGTGAGGCAGAAAATGATAGGCTGGTGTATAGAAAAGCATAGCCATAAAGAATTAGTTGTTATCTGGTAATGGTAAAAGCACAGTTTAACACTGAGGCACAGGTAAACTCTGACAGGAAAACAAAATGGAATCAAAATGTTGTATACCTTTTATTTTCTAATAAAACATATAAAGACCAGACATAGGGAACAGTGACAGTATCATTAATATGGCATTTTAATAGCACTTTCATTAAAGATATGACACTATTCTTTACATGGCCAGTTCTTTTTTAAAAAGTCAAGTTAAAAGTTAAGTCAATTCTGTTGAAGTTGTCTCTTTGAAAAACGAATGTGACCCAGGTGTCAAGCCCTGCAGCAGATGGTACTGGAGCGAAGTGATTAAGACTGTGAACTCTGGCGCCAGACCCCCGGGTCTGCATCTGCCTCAGCTGTTCACTCGTCGTGCAGTCGGGGCAAATCAACTCACCCTCCTGTGCCTGGCTCTTCTTCTGTAAGATGAGGGTATTAGTATCTACCTCAGAATTGTTATGAAGATTGAACAAACCCATATAAAGCCTTTGGAACACACTCTTTAAACCAGTCTCGCTTATCAGTTGTCCCCAAGCAGTATTTGGTAACCTGTAACAAAACCTGAAATGCAGTTATTCTATGACTTTGCTTTCACAAAGCAGGTGGACAAGTATCAAGGTTGACCAGACTTTGTAATAATTAAAGAATCTCACTAATATTCTTCCCTATATTGAGAAACACAATGATTTAGGGCAGTGATTTTTTTTTTT